AAAATTGCACAATGTTGATTGAACCATTTGGGGTGGTACAACTTGAAGTCTTGAATCTATAGAGAAGCTAAGGTTAATTATCATCTACAAGTTTATTCATATGCCGCTTTACTTGATCATTCAATTCACTAACATATCAATTGCTCTTTTTCTTTACACCTCACACAGTTTCTAGAGAGGATGAAATTTATCACCGAAACCAAGAAAACTTTCCTATGAGATATAGAATCAAATTTTCCTAAAATCTCACCTTCATCAAATATATTTATGATAGATGTAAACTTTTACAAATAATATGTTACTATAATTTTATTTTGTTGTTTTAAATTTAAATCTTTATTAGGTTCTTTTATAATGCCTTCATATTTGAAAATTTCAAATGCACAAGTTCCCAGGACTCGCTGAAGATGGGTAACCGGAACTCCAATGGTTAGCTCACTTTTAATACATATTGATTTTTTGTTAGCCCGTAATCTTGAGTACACATTTAAATAGAACTCATAATTTAGTTGGTAGTGCGTATCATACTTGCAAAGAGTAAAATATATGAATTTCAGATTATCAGGGAAAATGGACGACTTCATGGATAATTTCGTAATTTGTAATCCCGTGCAACGCACGGGTAAAAGACTAGTTAGAGTAATTTAAATAGTCTAATATGACTTCATTATAGAATCATATGATCCAGTTCGTATACCGTGGGATCATCCCACAGTGAGCACCGTGCTCCATTCCCAAAACGACGTAGCTTTGCACATTTGTTTTTAAAAATCGCATAAACAGTACACGCGTGAACAGTAACGTTTTTTTAATTTCTTTTTGTCCCAGTAGCATGAGTGATGTAACTCGCGTGTACAGATATGTAACTTACGTTATTGATTAATGCAACTCAAGTGCATTCGAAATATAACTTGTCAAATACATAGTAATAGAAATACAATATTGATTTCAATGTAAACAAAGAAAAAAGAGAGCCTAATTGCACAATTGCTTTAGGTAAATCGTGAATATGTTTTGTTTTTAATATCATGACCATAAAAATTATTTTTTTAAAAAGATCATTTTTTTTGTTTCAATATTAGGCGTTGAGTTTTTAATGTAACTCATGTTATTAAAAGTGTAACTCGCGTTCATGACAAATATAACTTAGGTTATACAGAATGTAACTTGTTGGAAAATTGAACATTTTGTGTGTGTGTTTTAGAATACTATATATATATATATATATATATATATATATATATATATATATATATATATCATAAACAATGATTTCAATGTATACAATGAAAATTTGATCCTAATAGCTTAATTACTTTTGAAGTAGTGAATATGTTTTATTTTTAATATTAGAGTTATAAAAATGATATATAACAGGGGTTTATTCCGTGGTGCAACTTGGATGCATTAAGATGTAACTCGCATACAATAAAATGTAACTCACGCAGAAGGAGATGTAACTTCATGATATATTATCCAATGTAACTTCAAGAATCAAAATAAACAAGCTCAATGTCTTAAAAATCTCTAAAACATATAAAAAGTGAAAAAATTACATTATAGAAAAAGTGTATACATATAAAAAATATTACAAAAAGTGTATGCATATTAAAAGTATATTACAAAAAAAGTATATGAATATAAAAAATATTACAGAAACAAAAATAGTGTATGAATATGAAATGCAATATACTTATTTTATAAAGATTAATAAACTTTTGTTATGTATTTATAAAGAATAAAAAAATAGATTCAATTATAATTTAAGATGAAGTTAAAGAAAAGTAGGATTGACATTAAATTTTTAGGATTTTAATTTGATGCAAAAAGAAAAGAATTGAACAAAAGAAAAATAAAGAAAGAAACACAAAAGAAAAGGATGAACATTGCTCCAGGAAGAAAGAAAATGAATGGCACTTGCCTAAAGTGGGATTGGCACACCATGCGGAAGGTGGGCCGATCCCACGTTGTAATTTGCGAATATGATCGATGTGACGTCACCATTACTAAACATACACACTCGATCAGGTAAAAGGAGAGCAGAATTTTTATTTTATAAAAAGAAATTGTCCAAAATGGGACTAAAACATTGGGAAAACTCCAAAATAGGAGAATAAGTTTATTTATCCCTAAATAAGACTCCAGATTACATTTTTGCCCTCCCCTAATTAAATCCAACATCACCGCCTCCGACATATTAGAAATTAGCTATCACCATCTTCCCGATTTAGGAGCGGTTGTCTCCTTCCTCATCAAAGACCTCATGACAATGCAAGTTCACCGGCGATTTCTAGTCTTCCATAGTTATATCCGCCGCTCGTCGGTACCGTAGCATAGCAACCGTGAGTCTTCTCCATCTCCAACAGCCTTCTGCAATTTTTCCCATGGAATCAAGTAATTTCTCCTTCTCCTTCTATCTTCTCTTCTCTTCTCTTCTCTTCTCTTCTCCTCTTTTCTCCTCTCTTCTTTCTCTTCATTTTCCTTGTTGGTCGTGCTCTGTTTTTGTCCTTTGGGATTCAATTAGATCTGATAAATTGGATGGCAATTGAATAAGGTTGGCCGGAGGGGACAGGATGAATTGAACAACTTCAGCAACGAGTGTTCAAAATTTTTTATTGGATTTTTAATTTATTTTATTATTTTTGAATTTGAAAATTTCATAAATATTTAAAATTGAATTGAAAAAATGTCACAAATATATGAAAATGACTAGATCACCTTGAAATTGAAATATATGAAATGTCATGTTTTTTGCCCTTTTGACAAAATAGTGTCATTTTTATGCTGGTCACTTTATAAAGATGTAATTTTATTACTCAAATGAAGAGCTAGATTTCCACAAAGGACAACTAATAAGATATATCTCAACTTGAATTTCCTCTTATCACTTTTGATTAATTTGAATCTCAAAATGTCCTGAATAATGATTCTAAAAAAATGACACTTTTTAAATCACAAAATGTCATAATTATTGATTATTTGAAAAAATGTCTCTTTTATGTCATTACAGTATTTAAAATTGTTATATTGAAATTGAGAATGTCATGATTCTATACGAAATTGTCATTATTGTGTCATTATGCATACCAAGTGGCATTTTCGCATATCAAGTGGCATTCTCGATGGAGTTTACAGGGACTTGTCGGAGAACGGCGGCTTCGTCGGAGGATGGCGGCGGTTAACTCAGCGGAGGTGGCACACTTGCTGGAGGATACATGGTTGCGACACTAGAGGATGGTTGCCGCACATGCCTGGGTGATGTATGAGATGCGCAAAAGATGTTACTGCAGTTTCACTAAGGCTATTACTGTCCAAACACAAATATTTAGTCTTATTTATGAAATTTAAAACAATAGGTCCTGTTTTTGCAATTGTCTCATCTTTTAGTCCTATTTTGGAAATTCTATCTTTTTAAAACAATTAAAGGACTTCTTAGCAAATACTCCGTAGTTATATACTCCCTCCGTCCTATAAAACTCTTCCCACTTTCCTTTTTGGGCCGTCCCAAAAATTCTTCCCACTTACAATTTTTGGACAATTTGTGTGGTTCACATTTATTTGACCTTTTTCTTACACAACTACAACCACACATTTCCACTTTATTCCACTTTCTTAATCTCTGTGCCAAGTTAAAGTGGGAAGAATTTTCTGGGACGGAGGGAGTACTCTTTAATTACATAGATGAAGTAATGGATTCAAATTTCTTCTTCTTCAACATTCTTTTCTCTCATTCTTTTTTACTATTATAAAATTTTTTGAGTTCTTGAATACTAATATATTCTCCATATTCAATTTACATTCAACATTCAATATGGTATCACTTTAATCCTCATACCAATCCTCCTGCAAACTCTAATTTCAAATCTTAACCTAATTTGTATTGATATTTCATATATTCATCATGACTTTTAGTCAGACGGAAGATCCATCTCCCCTCTTACTTACACCTAAGCGATCATTCTATAATCAGAATTGTCTATGAAACACTCAGTGGATACAATTATATCGCTTAAAAGAAGTCACTGGCCATCGCTTTTACGGTGAAGAGAAAATGTCATTTCTTGAATGTTCTTCTATTCTACAACCATTTTCAGATGACACCAATCTATACGTTGTCCGGTGTTGAAGTGCTTTACTCTAACTTTCATCTCTAACAAGTAAGAGTTTGGAGAATAGCAACATTGTCTGGGCAGTGAAATAAATAATCTAATATTTTCCTATTTTGTCGCTCTTTTTTCCTTTCTACCTAAAAGAGTTTGTTTTGGTTAGGCTACTTCTTTGACCGAGAGTTTTATCCTCTTCAGATGAACGTGAGATATATTTTTCTCCTAATGATGATTAGAGTTTGTATATTTCTCGGCGGTGTAACCGATCGAGTAATGAATTTTCATTGTTCATGACATGCAAAGTTGTTTTAAGGTCTCCTTTACTCGCCCTCCTTCTAAACCACCGCCACGCTTAGGGAGAAAGAAAGCGTTGAACTGAATCTCCTTTTCGGTAGTTGGTCAAACCGATGATATAGAAAATTGCTACTCGGTAGAAATTCTTTTGTTGGTTGTTGGTCAAATCAATTCTCTCTTTCTGGTGGCTCATGAAATCGGAGTTTTGTTTTTGATGTTTTGCTTTTTTTTTAGAGTCGCAAGTGTAGCAAGACTATTCAACTAGACTGTATTATTTCTAAGTTAGCGATATTAAAGCATTCACGAGATCTTTTCGGTTCTATGTATCATCCCATTGTATCATATGGTTATTCATTCACTTATTCCTTTGCTATGATTATTGTTAGGATATAATATCCCGGCCTGTTACTGTTCAGGAGACCAAGACATTACCCATTACAGAGCCCGATCAGTGAGGCCTGTTTCGGCCCATTTCAGGTCTGTTTTGGTCCTTTGGGCCCGTTTTGGCCCACTTTGGCCCATTAGGATAGAAATGCACCCTACCCCTTTCTCTATAAATATGAGGCTTTCCCACATGTTTAGGTATCCCTTTTTTTGGGAGACTTCTCTCTTCTTCCCCACATCCCACTTCTCTCTAAAGCTTGGAGCTCCATTAATGGCTACCAAGCCTCAAACTTGTACATTGTAATGGTGAGGAGAGGTTAATGAGAATGAGAGGGCTGAACATTAGCCTAAACAGTCCCGTGGTTATCTCCCTTTCCGGGTTTCCACGTAAAGATCATTGTTTATATTTTGATATCATCCCATAACCATTAAACCCTCCCGGAAGGGGTGTTGAACTTCAGAGCTGCGGTGAATTAAACTCAACACTGACGCCGTCTGTGGGAACTTGTTCAAAAAGATTTGTACGTGCTCTTGAATTTTCTACAAAAAATGCACATGAAGTGAACTGTTTCTTGGAATTTTCTGGAATCACAACCGAGGTTATGAGGGGAAATATCCCCCACCAAGAGATCCCCCACCCTTTTCGCCACCTTGGGGTCACCTGGAGGTGGGCAGAACAAGGGAACAACTTCCTCAATCATCAAGACCTTCTTAGCAGGAGGGAAGAGGCGGTTGGGAGCTATGGTTGCCTGACAAGGATGGGTTGGTGAAGTGACAAGTGGGGCCATGGTTTGACCAATCAGCTGCGTAGACCGCACATCCCCTTATTGAGCTTATCTAAGCCTGGTGACGAGCAGGGAAGGGCGGAAAACCCGAGCGGGAATACCAATTGACATTTCGAATGCTTCGTGAAACCGAAATGATTGGAGGAAACGAAAGAGCTGAGCCAGAAGGATGACCGAGTATCTCGTCAGAGCAGCCTGCGCATTTTCAACTCGGGCCCTAGCCTTGCCGCCCGGCACCGCTGGAAGGCTGCCCTTATCTGAATACCCGGCACATGTGCATACCCGATTCGTTATGCCGCTTGATCGTCAGGCCAACCTTAGTTTGGAAGCCTGCAAGATTAACTGGCCGCCCTGCATCTCTCTTCCCGATGGGGAGGATGTTGGAGCATGCTGGCGCATCAAACAAGCTGAACGTATCAAACAATCCCCTCCTCAAATGGGAAGTCTTCTCACTAATAAAAGAACTCACGTTAAATAAGGTCGAGTGTCCCAGGGCCAACCTAACGCCCAACTTTTTCGTCCCATGCTGGAGACCCCGAGAGGAAGAATAATCATACACCGAACGGTGGGAGATGAGTAACTCCCCTGTTGATTTGTGTCAACTTGAAATGCTGCAGCACGTAGCCACGTACCCAGGCTTGGGACGAACGGTGACAACCCTCAAAGAGAAAATTGAAGGGAATCCATCGGACGCAAAGAAAGGCTGGTTAACCACGCTTAAACCAGTCCCTACACGTCAGTGGTTATCCGACTCCAAGATCGTTCCGGAAGCCGCTCAGAGCGTGGGCCACCCAGCCTTAGACATCTAATGCATACCGCAAGAAGGTACGGCCGCCCGACCGACAAATCACTCGAGGCTCCACAGGTGGAGATGCCCTTGTCAGTCAGCCAGGTTTGCCGCACGGCCAGGTATGTTTCCGCTAAGAGCCAGCTTCCACCAGGCGTTTGTAGGGGAATTTTCAGACCGGATTCTAACTAGCCAGATCGAAAACGAAGCCAGAGGATAGGGCCTAGTCTTCACTCAGCGTGACTGGGATTGGAAGTTGGAAGTCCCCTGAAGTTGGTTGCCCGATCAGATCCGCTTACTAACTGATGGTCCAATATCGTTTTCTTTTCAACCCTTTTTCCTCTAACAGAATGTGTTCCAATATCGTTTGGGAGATATTGAAACATACAGCGGAAGTGTTGACCTCAAGAGTGTGACACTTTATAGGAACAAATGTTATGACTCTTTTAGTTGTAACAGAGATGGGTGGATAGAACACTTTTGTTTGAAGGATTCAGATCTATTGTCATAGATCTCTTTGTAGTGCGTAGGTAAGGAGTTTTTGGTTCACAGAAAACTTTAGGGAGTTTGGTGGACATTGAATATGCAAGACTTTGGGATAGTGTGAAGGTGAGTGAGAACTGAAGTATGTGTTGGGTGCTGAATATAAAAGGTACATAAGATATATCCTGGTTCAAAGGTGGTGTAATCCTCCTACATCCAGTCCCAACCTATTTTAGATGGATTTTCCACTAAATGAATATCCCATTACATTTAGTGCCCAATCTACCCCTGGCCCGAGTGTAGATTGTGAGGTTTTTCACGAGGAACCACACTGTTCCAAGCCACTCATGTCCTCCAAGGTTTTTCACTAATGGCTTGCCCAGCCAGAAGCTATTCATGTCCTTGCCTCACCTTCTGGATGATCACACACATCCCAGAATGAATACACTAGACTAGTTTACATGGGTTTAAACTAATCTACCAACTAATTTAAGCTCTATACATGTGTATGAATGATAAGCTATTATAAGAGCATTAGATGAGTGGGGTGGTAGCCAGAGTGGTGAAGGTGAATCAGCTAGCTGAATGTTTTCTTGTAAACCTTGATTCCATTCTGTTCCACTTGGTTCCAATATACCAGGTTTGTTGCAATCTGGTACCACACTTGGTCTTCCCGCACTCTTTCTGTATTTATAGACTTTGTTGTTGAATCTCCTCCATTGGCTGAGTGATCCAATCTTAATTGTTGCTTGATCTACTTGCTTTGTTCCACTTGACTGGGCAGCATGGTTGATTCTTGTCTTCTTGTGACACGGATCATTTTATCTTCACTCAACTTGATTCCTCATTTCAAGGCAAAGATAAGATGATTTATCTTTATCTTTTTAGCTTACAAAAATTCAGTATCTAGGCTGAGTGTTGTTCAATGCATTCCTCAAGATAAGATTACTTGCTTTGAGTAAATAATGTTATAAGAAATTTTGTCACATAATTTCTTGTAACATTATTTTCTATGCATTCTGTCATTCTGACTGCAAGTGGGTCTTCTGTCTTCTTATTTCTGTGCTAGGAGAAGAATAGCAGATGTTGAGATTCCGATCAGAATACCTCAATAGAATACCTTACCAGAATACCTATGAGGTCTTCTGTTCTGGTGTCAACAAAGAACTACCATTGTTTGAGGTTCTCTGTTACGATCATAACACAAGGTCTTCTGGTATATATCAGAGACCTTTACTTTGGTGTTAGCCCCTCCAATAACGGCTTGTAAGACCGTATGAATTGATGTTTGTAGATTTTGTTGAATTTTGGTTTGAACTTCTTCAAACCTCTTGTCAAGTTCATGAGTGGTAGAAATTTCATTCACTCCCGCCACCTTGATGTCTCCTCCTTGAAGTTGAGGATTTGAAGCAATAGACTCAAGAATCCTAAAAGCTTCCGTCTCGGTTTTGTTCCCGATGTATCCCTCCGCTCGGTTGTCCACACAAGATGGGTTCAAGTCATTGTAAAAAGTGTCTATTTGAAGGTCAAGAGGAATACGGTGATGTGGACATTCCTTCAACAAAGACTTGAAACGCCTTCATGCGTCTTGAAAGAGTTCTCCAACTTGTTGTTTGAAGTTGAAGATTCGTTGCCTTAGTTCTTGAGTCATTGTTGGTGTGTAGTACTTGGAGATGAAAACATTGTATATTTCATCCCAAGTAGTATAGGATGCCAGTGCTTGCTCTAGAAACCACCCTCTTGCCGCTCCTTTCAAGGTGTAAGGTAAGCACTTGAGCCTAAGATCACCTTCATTTAGGCCATTCCTTGGAACACCTTGAATGAACCCATAAAATTCAGTGATGAAATTTAATGGATTCTCCCCCGATTGTCCATAAAAGTGTGGCATAGCGTTGAAGTAACTATTCCGCAACTCATAGTCTCGTGCCGCCTCGCTAAGCATGATGCAAGAAGGAGTATTTGCAATGACGGGCCTCTTCCTTTCATTGAGAGTGGGAAGTGCGGGAAGCATTGTTGGTATTTTTGCTTCCTTCTTCCGATTCCTTCTACAAGCTCTCTCAATTTCAAGATTGATAGGTTCAAGGTTTGTAGAGCCTTGACTTCTCAATAACATGCACTAAGAGCTTGTCTACACAACAAAATTCAAAACAATACCAAGTGAAACGTAAAGGGAAGAAAAAAAAATCAGGAATTTTTGTTGAATCGTATAAAAAAAATCGTTTCCCCGGCAACGGCGCCAAAAACTTGACCGGATTAAACGTGCAAGTGTACAAGTGCCAATGTAGTAATAAAATCCGGTAGAAATACCGGGTCGAACACGAGAAAACGTTGTTTATATGATTCAAAAGTTGAGAATAGAATTTGTAAAAGACTTGGTAAAAGAGTATAGATTTTTGGTTTTTAAGTGATAATAAAAGCAACTAAGGGTTCGGGATTACTTCTAAACGACTCCTAGTAATGAATATATGTTCTTTCACCAATTTTTATGAGTGGAATGTCACTAAAGTATTCTAACTCCTGTTACGGCAGCGAGATTGTGATTAATTCTACGTGTGAATCCCGTCACGGTTCACATTCATCTAAAATTAACCCCATTGAAGATTAGGACATTATAAAATCCACCATATTCAATTGAGGTATATTTCTATCCACAATTAGAATATGTCTAAACCTTTAAGTGCACGGTTTATAACTCAACGTTAATTGCTCAAATAAACCCAACGATATAATCATACGTTGTACACCGTAGTCATACACATTAAAAAAATAAAGGAAAAATCATAATAATTTGGTTGAGAACATACATCAAACACCTAGAGTGCGTAAAGTTTCATCCCTAACCTTGGCTATAGAAAATTAGCTAGAACAATTCATAATGAAATTACAAATGTTGAAATGATGAAATACAATGGAATACATAAGAAAGTAGTACCACAACTCCAAAGCTATGGTGGACAATGGAATCCCCAAGTGTAGAACTTCTCCCAAGACCAAGGGGTTGATCTTGGAATGCTAAAATGGAAGTAAAGTGTATGGAATATGGAATCTCCTGTTGAAAGGGCTTCAATTCTCTTAAATAATGAGTCCTCAACGGCCATTTTCGGACAAGGAAGCAAGCTCCTTAGGTGGGCTCTATCCTTAAAAATCACACATGGGAATTGGTTGACCTTCCTCCGTGAAATAAACCTTTGGGATCCAAGTGGATTTTTAAACGGAAAATGAAACCTGACAGTTCCATCGATAAGTACAAGGTCAGACTTGTAATAAAGGGATACAAGCAATGTGAGGGCCATGATTACTTTGATACGTATTCTCTTGTGACGAGAATAAATTCCATTAGGATGATACTAGCAATTGCCGCATTGCGGAAATTGGAAGTTCATCAAATGGACGTAAAAATCGCTTTTCTAAATGGCGATATAGACGAAGAAATCTATATGGAACAGCCCGAAGGCTTTCGTGTTCCTGACCAAGAAAGGAAAGCGTGTAAATTAATTAAATCATTGTATGTATTGAAACAAGCCCTAAAACAGTGGCACGAAAAGTTCGATCATGCAATGTTAATTAATGGATTTAAAATAAACGAAAGTGACAAATGCGTCTATGTGAAGAGCACGGTAGACGGCTATGTCATTTTATGTTTATACGTGGATGAGATACTCATCGTGGGTAGCAATGATCTAATGATTAATTCTACCAAAGGCATGTTAAATTCTAAATATGACATGAAGGATATGGGGCTGGCCGATTTAATCCTTGGGATTAAAATAATTAGGGGACCAGACGGTCTTACGCTAAGCCAATCCCATTACGTTGATAAAATCCTTACGAAAGTTAATAAGGATGATTATCAAGAGGCAAGGACTCCATTAGATAAAAACGTAGACCTTACCAAAAATCATGGAGAGTGTATTTTTCAAGTAGAATACGCTAGGATTATTAGAAGATTGATGTATCTAATGAGTTGTACCAGGCCTGATATTGCCTTTGTGGTTAGCAAGCTGAGTAGATATATTAGTAACCCTGGTGATGAACACCGGAAGACAATAATAAAGGTTTTGAGGTATTTACGTAAAACCCAAAATCATGGACTGCACTATGGAAGATATCCCGCTGTACATGAAGGGTATAACGATGCTAGTTGGATATCCGACATTAAGGACTCAAAGTCCACAAGTGGATATGTTTTCACTTTGGGAGGTGCAGCCGTGTCATGGAAATCCTCGAAACAAACGATAATAGCCAGATCCACGATGAAATCTGAGCTAATAGCCTTGGATAAGTGCATTGAAGAGGTTGAATGGCTACACCATTTTATCGAGGATATTCCAAGTTGGGAAAAGCCTGTCCCTCCAATATGCATACATTGCGATTGTCAAGCGGCAATTGGAAGGGTACAGAACAACATGTATAATAGTAAATCTAGACATATTCATCGTAGACATAACACCATTAAACAACTCCTCACAACGGGTGTTATCACTGTTGACTACGTGAAGTCAAAGGATAACATAGCGGATCCGCTAACCAAGGCATTGGATAGAGAATTGTTGGAGAAGTTGTCATGAGGAATGGGACTAAAGCCCGTGAATTAAATTTTTTTATAGTGGATACCCAACCTAGTTGGTCCTAGGTTCAAAAGGGACAACTAAATTGTAGAGCGAAGGATGGTCACTGTGGGGGTCCCAGACTCCTACCCACTCCTCGTTAAAACAGTGACTCCCACATGAGGTTAGCAAAAACGTTTGATTTAATGATTTTAAAATGTTGATCTAGTCGATAACATTGGATGAGTATGCGGGATACCCGTGAAAGAATCACCTATGTGAGAGAGAAGATGACCGCTTCAAAGGAGAACTGTCAAGGCTCAGTTCTTTAGAAACTCTTGCAGAACCAGGACTGTGACCCATGGACAAAACGGGCACACCCATGAGAACGGAACAAAGTTGAAAGGTTCTTGTGTAAAGATAAGACAATGTTTACACGACGGCAGTATAGTTCAAGGACATCGAGTCTACTAGAAAGCCAGTAAATAAACGTGTCTTTACAGCGGAAGGTTCAAAGGATAAAACCTACCTCTCCGTATGCAAGGATCATCCGGTGAACACAACGTGTTCTCCTATCTTCGTGTCTTTTTTAAGTCTCGAAAATCAATTTTCATTCATGTGGGGGATTGTTGAAAAAATGTGTTAAAAATTGCATAAAATGGTGATTTTGGGGCAATATTTTGAGTGGGGTCCACTTCCGATTTGGGTCGAGTCAAAGTGGTTTCGGATTGTCCTTGTTAAGGGCTACAATTCGATATATGGTACGCTCAAAACGAATAACGGGTGAATGAGAAATTGATTCTCGAAGTTCACTTGTTGAAATGGAAAAACTGGGAAAATGATGGATTTGTAGTGTGTTTTATACCACACTGGAAAACTCTAGGGATTTTCACCCCCTTATAAAGGGAAGCCTCTTTTAAGGAGTTAAGATTCCTAAATGTAAAGGCTCTCTCTCGCGCGGGGGCAGGGGGACGATCAAATCCCGAAAACGGAGAAGAAAAACCGCGACTCGTGTGCGCGGGCGACCTGCGGACACGAATTTCGT